GAAGAAGAAGAAGAAGAAGAAGAAGAAGAAGAAGAAGAAGAAGAAGAAGAAGAAGAAGAAGAAGAAGAAGAAGAAGAAGAAGAAGAAGAAACCTAGAAGCATTTTTCCTCAGGAGCAGCAAAGACAGACTATCAGCCACGGTGTGCAGCTGTTGGGGGGCAGGCTTTCTCCGTCTCCTTCCTTGCCAGTACTGCACACTTGAAGCTGCCTGTTTCATGTTGGTAGCTTGAAGACAGTGAAATCTTTTTGGGAGAGAAGTGCTGCTCATTTCTAAAGAGTGATCTCAGTAATTCAATAAAGTCAGAAGAAAAGAACTCTGTTCGCCTTCTAAGGAGAAGGAGACTCTTTCGCCTGACTTTTCTCCTTTCATGGAGGCAATTCTACCCTAGTACACCTAGGCTCTTGAAAGGGATCTCTCAGACTTTTCTCAGAATCTAGACGTTGCCTATTCTATGGATTCCTTGTTTTGTACCATTTCTTCACACTAAAAGAAAAGACATCATCGTGACATCCCCTTGGTCCGTGTTTTACTAAGTGTCCCATTTTAGCAGGTGTTTTGCTTCCATTTGGTATTTGCTATTGCAACTTACTTGTCCAACAAATATGTTGCCAGCGGCAACTACAGACTCAATAGGAGATGATCCCATAGTAACAAGCATTACCCATCCAACCTAAAAGGAAAAAAGACACAAAGTCAGTGAAGAGCCTCGTGTGTACTACAACAAACTTCAAGCAGGGATGAACCGCATGAAACTGGAGTGAAAGGTTGAGGCCATCGGCAATTGTTGGCAAGTTGGTGGCAGTGCTAATTAGGTAGAACTCATCTAGAATGAGATGTATTTATGCAGAGGTGTGAGGAAAGCCATGCTCAGCCTCCTGCGGGCGTTAGAGTGTAGAATGTGAGCGGGAGATGTATACAGCAGGCTAGCTAAGTCCTTCTACTTGAGCGGTAAGTCTGGGTCACTGTAAATACTTTTGAAATGTTTAAATCAACCATCAGAAAATTATGATCTCTGGAGCTCGGAGTGTAATTCCGCTTTCTGCTGGCATTATGGTTTTCCTTCTTTTTTTCTCCTTTTCTGTTTATACATTTTGATTCCTTTAGGGATCAAAGGAAGGCTGTAGCTCACCCTCAGGCCTGCGGGCACACTCTGCTTTCAAGTGCACCCAAATTATCTTACATATGTCCTAATTTTCTGGTAGAATGTGAGGTTAGGACTTAGTTGTTGGGGAATCAGAAGTACGATGATTAACAACTTTCCTATTCCTCCTCCCCCTTCTTGTCCTCCTCTTTCCCTTCATATCCTTCTCCTTCTCCTTCTCCAACTTCTTTTTAACAATTCTATGCCTAGAAAACTTCCTCCAGAGTGAAGTAAAACTCCTTGTTTGACTCCACTGGAACTCCCAGACCAGGAACATCTACCTTGGCACCCTCCTGGAGGTCCACACGGCTGTGGAAGGCACAGCATGGATAACCACGAGGAAGGGACAGCACTGTCATCCCCTGGCAGGTGTCACATCCCAATTCCTTGGCTTAAGAAGTAGCTGCTATGGTTTATAGGGACACCCAGAGGGTGCAAATCAAAGCTCAGTTAGGATGGATGTGAATCTTTGGAGAAAGAGAAAGTCACCTTGGAAATGTCTAGATAAAAAACTATCTCAGAATTTGTACCTGAAGTAATCATCCTTCTCCTGTCACCCAGTACCTCCCAATCCCAGTACCTTTCTGATGATCCATTGCATTAATCCCAGGTAGTACAGCATAGACATCACAGTGCTGAAGAAAACCACAATGGGCAGGATCTACGGGTGGGCAGCGGGACAAAAGTGAGTAGGACCAGAGCTGACCTTCATAGTATCACAGGTGTCCTGTTAGGTCTCCTCTCTGCCTCTTTCTCTCTCTCTCACACAGAAACATCATAACAATCTTGGAACTCTCCTCAAACCGAGCAACAGTTTTACCAGGCAGCTTTCTTCTCTATCATTTCTTACTCTGACTTCTTCTGGATAGGCTTCTTGAAATGTGACCCCCAAAAGTCTAAGTGTGTCTCCAAGTAAATATACTGTGGTATTTAGAACAGTGCATTTGGGAAGTGGTTAGCATGAGACAAGGTCATCAGTGAGGGGACCCCTGTTGCACGGGGGCTCACTGTAAGAGGAAGACAGACCTGAGCGGGGCTTGTCTCCCTTGCCATGGGAGACCCTCTGCCAGGTTCCTTGTAGTAGGAAGACCCTCGTGAAAGCTAGCACGTGGATGCCAGACTTCTCAGCCTCAGAGCTTTGAGCTAAATACATTTGTAAATTATCCAGCTGTTTTGCTATAGCTACAGAAAACAGACCAAGACAAGTACATGTCATAGAAAACTTGACATTTTTGTTTTTTCTCATCCACATGAATTTTTTTTTTTTGTTTTACTCAGAGAAAGAATGTGGTTTTGAATGGGTTTGTAGTGCCTGGTCAACAAACTGAAGGCCAATAGCAAATGTTCTTAGTGGCTCCGTGTTGAAAAGACATGCTGTCCCCACTGCCATCATTAGCAGAGTGTCCAGGGCAGGATGAAGTGGAGCCTGTCAGACCCTCTTTATAGTCGCTAAGCAGACATAACAAAGCATGGCGGGTACTGACTCATGGTGCCTCCTACAGAGCATGCATTTACCCTTTTAGTTCTTAAAATAATAATGACTTCACCTATAGACTTGAATCACTAAAAAGTGATGGCATTTTGGAGACTAGCTTAGTTCTGCATAAGGAAAGGTGTGTTTCCTCAGGGCCCATGCTTCTGATACTCTCTAGGGTCTTCCCTGAAGACCATGCCTCTCCATGTAGAGCACAGTTGCCAGCCTCATGGAGCACCCAGAGCTTTCTGGGGTCCCTAGCTCCCTCCTTCCCCACCTGACAGTGGCCACAGACCCGCACCACAGCACCCAAGGGCAATGTGTACAAAAGCTAATTGAGAAAAACTTATTCATAATATGTACTAAAAGTTATTTTGGGCCATTTAGTAGCTTTAACTGGAGGCAGAGCTAAGGGACTCATCCAAGAATTCTGCACCGGCAGAAAGAACAGAGGCCTCGGCCTGGGGGAGAGTGGTGGCAGGCACGGAGCCCACGCAGTCTGGGAGCCAGGGTATTCCTTATCTGTGACTTTGTTTTCTTCAGTGCTACATTCAGCTCATGAGATGAGCAGCCTTCTCTCTCACGCTATTAACACTTGGCCTTTCAGACATGGCTCAGCCTTCTCCACACTGAAGCATCAGGGTTAGAAAAGATTCTGACCCTAATCTCATTGTGGCACACTGTGTACACGTATGAAAGACTCATATTGACCCCCACAGACAGGGCTCATTGCTATGAGTCAGTTAAAAATAAAATAAGTTACCCCATCTTATAGGGATATTGTTTTCCCTGAACATAGTGCCCAAACACTATCATCCATAGGATGTTTCTTAAGTGTGTCTAGCAATCTCTCCCCTTAAAATATTTGATGAGTCCTGACCTTCTCTAGATCTTTTCCTTAATACTACATGTGAGTTATGCAGTGTAATGTGTTCAGTCCATCAATTTCAGATAACATTATAAATTAAAAATGGTGCCTACAATGAGTCCAGAAAACATATACTGTACTTGTGTTGGTGTGTTAGGTTCTGTCTGAACATCTACAAAGACTAAGAAGCTAATGGAAAGGTGATGACTACTTAGAAAAAGAGTTGAGGCTGGCCAGATAGCTCAGTGGGTTAAAGTGCCTGCTTAGGCAGATGCAGGGGCCAGGGTTTGGTCCCTGGCATGCAGTACTGGCCCCATCCCTGGGGGTGTGCTGAGATGGCGATTGAGATTGGGCGTGGTGGTGCATGCCTGTAATCCCAACTCTTGGGAGGTTGAAAACAGGATGATCACTATGAGTCCGATCTGTGTAGTGAGACCCTGTAGACCCTGTACTAAATACATTAAAAAGAGAGAGAGAGAGAAAGGAAGAAAGAAAGAAAGAAAGAAAGAAAGAAAGAAAGAAAGAAAGAAAGAAAGGAAGAAAGAGAGGAAGGAAGAAAAAGGGTTGAGACTCACCTTAAATGCAAAGAAGTGGTCTGTGTATTTCTCACCAAAGACAAAGACAGCGCCAGCATCCGTGTACCCCAGGAAGGTCTGAGCTCAAGAGAAGGAAGGAGATCATTACAGCCACTGAAGCGGGAGTTACAAACTAGGAACACAACCTCTTGCAGAACAAGAGGACCCTTACCATGTCCTCAGCTTTGTCCTACCAGTGCCTGGCATGGGAGTGCATTTTTGAATGATAACTGCACACAGATTTGCTGTCTTTTCTGATACTCAGTATGGCTCCAGTACACTAAAGAATAAGCTGAGCATGAGAACAGAAGGACATGGAGCACACTGGTCACCACTGGATGCAAAGCATACTCTGGGGAAACTACCTTAGACATGTGGTAGCCTTGAGCTGGGTGATGGGCAAGAGCCACTGGGACGATACAGTGGATGACATGGGTTGGGGCAGCAGTAAGTATTGAGTAGGCAAATTAATACATTTGACATACACAGGTATTCCTCTAATTCATACTATGGAATTAAAATCTGGGTCAAATATTGCAGGCCAGTAAAGCTAGGCCTGACATGTCTTAAGGACTACATCAAAATATGAGGTGCACTATAAACTGTTCTTTTCAACCACTCACCTGAACTTGTCTGCCCAACCAATCAAAAGCAATAAATCCAGGCTTAGTCCTTAGGATTAGGAGACCAAAAAGAAACTGCAGGCCAATTCCCCAGCAGACAGGTCTCCAGTAAACCTAGGCAGAGAGATCAAGAGATTGTCTTCTTAGGAAACCAGTGCTGACCTCACTTTAACCTGCAGGGAAAGGGTCTCCTGGAAGTGCCCTCAGTGTGGCTGCTGAGCCGCTCACCCCTTTACTAGAGGCCCAGGTAGCAATGAACAGAGAATCTTTTCTCCCTTTGTAGGAATTGGGGATTGGACTGAGGACCTTCGTACTGAGTCAATCCCAACTTCCCAGCTCTTTTAATTAATTAATTTTAATTTTGAAGCAAAGTATTCCTGAGTTGCCCTGGCTGGACTGGAATTTATGATCCTCCTACCTCAGTCTCCCAGAATTGCTAGTATTACAAGAATGTGCCCTCACAATAGCAAAAAAAAAAAAAAAAAAAAAAAAAAAAAAAAAAAAGTAAAAAAGAAAAAAAAATAAGCATGTATATCTAGAGATGATAGACTCCTAAACTGGAAATTTTAAAAAGATAAGGCTCAGAGTGAATACCAGGCATGTGTTACTTTTCCCAGAAGTGACTTCTGATAAATATAATTTGTAGATATACTGCACATGGGATTAAGATGCTTCAGACTATTTCACCTAGGAGTTACCAACCTAGAATGCAATTCACATAATACGAGCTGTTAGCTACTTTCTCTTAATTCAATGAACAGAAAAATTTGTTCTGATAGGGTTTGTGGACAGGATATCATGTCTGCATCTTATACTATGAATGACCACTAAGAAGATAACAATATGCGATGTATTAATTATTGAAACTGTCCTACTAATTGGCTTTGAAACTCTCTTATTGCTATTTGTTTATCAATGAAATTATTAAAGAAAAAAAAGAGAGTGTGCCTCCAAGCTTGGTTAGGGATTCTTGGATAGAATCATACCTTCAGAAACTCAGGATTGCATTTCCTCAATTTAAGCCTGACGGAAGCCCTGTTAGTCCTACTTTCCCATGCATTCCTATGGAACCAGCAGGTCCTCACAGATATCTTAGACATACAGTGTAATCTAAGAAGCATCACTGATATTTTAGGATGATCATACCATCAATTATTGCACACATATAATTACTTTGATTGGAAAATGGAAAGGCAGAATATCATTTCTCTGTGTGTCTGTATTTAAATCTGACAACTTGTAAATGAATGAAGTAAAATTCTGCCTGATTGGGGGAATTTTGTTTCATTATGAAAGGAACCAGTGACCTCAATGCAGACCCACAGAGCGCAGCAGAAATGCTCTCACCTTGGGCGAGAAATGAGTGTCCTGACAGCAACTCTGGGAGTGAGGCCGCAGGAAATAGAGAAATTCGCTTGAGCAGGGAAAATACTATAATGTGGATCACATAAGGTGAACTCGGTTTCTGATCAACATTTTTTCCTTGGGAGACTTTTAGCCTGAAAAGTGTTCCAGAGCTTGCCGTTCTGATTCATTAGTGAGTACTTCCAGGTCTCAGAGATGGGTTAAGGCTAATAGAGTCAGGATGAAAATGCATTCAATGGGGGAAAAACTGTATGAGGACAAATTTTTGGAGTCAAGAAGCCCAAACTGTAAATTGAACTTTGATAAACTGCAGGATCCAATGTAGAATATTAGGTAATTTATCGTCTGGGAAAATCTATATCAAAATGAGTCTATTTTTCTCTCTGTGTGTTGATGGACACAAGGGGAACATGAGTAGAGATTAGATTCTGACAGGGAAAGAGTAACTTGCTGGTTGTATAACTGGAAAATAGTGCAAGTGAAACATGACATAGTGCTTTGAAAGTTCCACAAAAAGGCACCCTCTCCGCCTTGTGTCTCACAGCAGAGTGAGAAGAACATTGGACAGTGCTATTCTTTCATTTTAAGCAATTTGCAATGGGAAAAAGGCAAAAAAAAAAAAAAATCCCCCAAAGACCAATTTTATATTTACTCTGGTTGGGTGTCTGGAAAACAGAAATAACAGGATAATGTACATCACGAGCCCACCGAAGGACACCAGCTGCTGTTGTCCCAACTTGGCGGTGTCGAGGATCAGCCAGAAAATAACACCTAGGACCAACAAGCTCCACATGACCCTAAGGGACAGAAAGGGCACTGGTGTCACTTATTGTGCTGACTTGAACACTGTAAGAAGGCTTGAACTAACAGAAAATGCTAAGAAGAGCAGCACCTCCGGGGACCAGGATGCTGTGTGTTTGGAAATCACAACTGACCCTTCTGATTGTGGCTATAATGGAAAGTAGCCCCCCAAACCAAGTCATGCATTCCTTTTGATTTACAACTCAGGTCCTTTGCCAGTTCAGGGGTGTCAAAGGCGTCAGAGAAGAAAGAAGATGTTTGGAGAGGCTGGTCTGTTGGTTTCTTTGGGAGAGTTCCTCTAGGGGGGATTCTTTAGTTTCTGGGGTGGGTAAGATGGTACTTTCTTTCCTTCAAGGGAGAACCCAAAATGTATTTTATGCAGATGGGGGACCCCATCAGAGCTGAGCTTGATCTGGGTTGACATCTCCAAGTGGGGAGTCCAGTGCACATGGTTAGGCTGACCCACTGCTTGGATAGCAGACTAGAAAGACCTCTGGGTGTGGACTGCACCACCCTGGCTTATTAGGCCAAGATGTGTGAGGTTTCCTGATAGATCCCAGTGGATCTTGACAGAGACAACCAGTTCTGGGACCTACCTATTAGGCCTGCTGGAGGGAGAGGAGGTCCACAAAGAAGGGGAAGAAAAGCCAAAAGCAGCCACTGTAGGACATGGGGTCTTTTGGGGAGGAGTCCCCTTAACACACAAGGCCTTTCTTGCTTGTATGGAGAAAGAACAGGAGGCAAGACAGTTCTGTCCTTGACTTCTTTCCTGGCTCTGAGGCTGGTAGAGAAATAGGTAAAAGGGGAAAAAAATGCAAACCAAAGCTGGGGTGGAAAGACGGGATGCTTGGTCAAGAACATAGTTTTCCCTATTATGTGGGATGGCACATTTTAATATTAAAATATGTCTGTGGCCCTGGCCTATTAACTAGGAATGAATAGAAGGGCCATGAGATTTTGGCATTTTTACACAAAGTATGGGATAGCTAGCTCCCATGGAATAAAATGGAATGGGTGGCTGATGAAAAATTATCCTGTGTTTTGATCATGGTATATGGGGTCATGCTTTTAAAATATTAATCACACAAAAAGTCATGTGCTAGTGGTCCTCAACATCAAGGCAGTATTTAAAACCCTAGTTCTTAGGAGGAAAAAGCACGGAGAAAATTACACAAAATAAAAGCTGAATTGAAAAGTGACCAGATTCATTAATCAATAAGAAATGCATATGGAGATACCAGTTAACATCAGAAATAGATAAAAAGGTTTATGCTTATCACAGCACTTAAAATAGTCTAAAAATGTAAGTGAAACAAATGAATAACCATAGAGAAACTACACATGAGAAATTGTAACAAACATTAAAAATCGTAACAAAGATTGAATGTATTCTATGATCTCCATTTTATAAATGTATTTTAAGCAGAATATGTATAACTTGAGTAAGAAAAGTGGTTGTTAAAAAAGAAAAGTTCTCTGTCATCATGTTATCAGCGGACTGGGTCATTTCTACTCACAGACCCAGTCTTTAGGTATTGTAAGTAGGGGACATTCATGCTTCTGTGTCCTGTCCTCTGGCAGGACATAGACATCACTGATTGATCAGGATGTCACTCCGCTGATGGGAGGAGGCGGTGGAGCTGGCCCTGCGATGAGTAGAACCTTATACTAGCCTATATCCTTAATTGCTTCTTGGTACACACATATAGAGAAGTCTCTAGTATAGCATATGAAGGGTATTTGGATAACATTTTATCAGCTGGTAGCACTTGAGATTGAGGTGGTTTGTAGGGACCCTGGAACAACTTTCCAATGAGTCATGAGTCATGGCCTCCTCTAAGCCTTGATTTCCTGCTTGTCAAGTGAAAGCATTTTAATGGAGTACTCCTGAGCACTCATAGAATACATTCCACCTTTGTTAACATTTTTAGTGTTTGTTACAATTTCTAATGTGTATTTTCTCTATGGTTAATCATTTGTTTCACTTACATTTTTAGACTGAAGCGTTGCTTCTGGCTTCACAATCTCAGGAACGTGGAAGCAATTTTAAAACACTTCTTTGGAACAGTGTTGGGAAAGGCTAACATCTCTCTCAATTGCGGTAAGAGAACCAAGGCATTTACCACTTGATCCAGAACCAGTGGCTGTCCAGAAGCTGTCTGCCTGGAGACAGGATTTCATCAATTCGATGTTCATATTTGGCCATCAAGCGATCCCAGATGACGAAGAAGATGGCGGCCACGGTGATCACAAAGAGAGGGAGGGCTCTGTGGAAGTTCAGCACGCAGGCTGCAATCACCAAGGCCAGATAACCTGTCCAGAAGGCAAAGGCAGGAAACTGAGCATCACGCGGCTCAGGCAGGGGGCGGGGTCACCAAAGGCCCACTGAGAGCAGGATTGCTTTGATGTGGACATGGCTCCAAGACTCTCAGTGCTGGGATGAAACGGTGCTGAGTTTCCTCTGCAGCACCTTCTGAGTCCTTGAATCCTGAGGCTTGACTGTGGACTTCTTGCTCAGTACTTATTCATTGCCCCACAGATGCAGATTTAGTAGGCAAGCTACTATCAGAGAAGAGCCAAGTACTGAAGCAACCACTGGCAAAGTGGCATTGATTTTCCTAGTTCGTAGCTCAGATTTTCCTAGGCCTAATCTTGAAAAAGAAAACAGACCCACAATCTCTAAGGGTCACAGATTCTCAAAAGAGGAGGGGCAGGGATAACTATAGTGGCTGCTTTTGAAGAACAGACTGTAGGATAAGAAATTCTCTGTTCTTCTGCTATTCTTAAAGGTCAGCAAACAAAGGTCTGTAAGTTCAATCTGGCTAGCTTGTTGTTTTGTGGTTAGTAAGTACAATGACATTTTTCTATTTGCATTTATATTCTACAAATAAAGTTGTGTTAGAACACAGCCATGTTTATCTCCTATATATTGTCTTTGATTTTTTTTTTTTAAACTACAGAGGTGGAGTTGCATAGTTTTGATTGTCTACTCAAATACTTCCAAACCTAAAATACTATCTGGCCTGGCACAGGGAAGGATGACCAACTCTACTGTTTCCCATTCCAGCTATGTGAGCACCAGCAAAAGTTTTGCCTTGGGTTGAACAGCAGTCTTAGAGTACTGTCTGTGGGTTCTGATAGGAACCCACAAAGATCTGGAGTGGAGCCCTTTGCATTGCATGAAGTCAAAACAATGGTTGTACCTTCAGGCAAGATGAAAGCCCTACATGGCCCTAGGTTCTTAGACACCCTGCAATTAAGTGTCTGGCTTTATGAGCTTTCTAGATTGCCTTAACCAGTGTACCTCCTCAAGTCCATACCACGAGAATAAAGGTGATAATGAGCCTAAGAGTGGGGTTCTGTGGTTTGAATGTGTCCTCCAAAAGTTCATGTGCTGGAAATTTAACCCCAAATTCATGTATTAATTGTATTTGGAGGTAGAGACCTTGGGAAGCTATTAGGATTAGACGAAGGCACGAGGGTGGGCCCCCTTATGGCCTTAATGGATTTATGAAAACAGGAAGACAGCTCTGGCTAGCACATTCACTCTAAGCCCTCTGCCACAATATAGTGAAGCAGAAAGGCATTTATGAAGTCTGGCATCTTGACATTGGGCTTCCTAGTGTCCAGAACTGTGAGGTAAATAAATCTCTATTCTTTATTCAAATACCTGGTCTGCAGTATTCAGTTATATCAGCAGAGAATGGACCAAGACAGTAGGTGACTCACAATTAACTGTTGGCCTCAAATAGGGGCCATGGGAAAAATCTGCACATTTCCTTGCTGAGACCTGAGTTGTCCGGGCTTTATGTCTTACTTCTTTGGGTGACCGATAGTAGTCCAGGGACAGGAAAAGATTTATTTTTTTTCCACAGGAAGCTAAGAGGATCCCCCCAAGGAAAAAACATTGGTATTTTCATCACTTTTTGATACTTACCCCCTAGTGATAGTCCCCAGATGATATAACGAAGAATGGTTTTGTGTTTTGTACAAAAATCACACACTGTATTATATTTCCTTTCCAAACATCTGCAACACAAAATCAAAAGGCCAGATAGAATCAAATGCTTAAAATCTGAAGTAAACAGGCATGCTAAGGCTAGATTCAGCTTTGTAACAATGAACAATTTAGGATGCATATATTTTAGCAAGAGAAAAGGAAAATCCATTTTATTTTAGACTAAAATCAGCAATGGCTTGGATTACCCTGCACAAAATGAGTGTGCCAAGGCCCGAGGGACTAGAGAAGTGTAGGAAGGATGCTCTTGGGAACAGAGCGAGAAGAGGAATCACTACCCAGAACCGGAAATAAACCTCAGGAGAGTGCTTCTGAGCCAAAAGTGCTGCAATATATCACACATGTAATGACAGGTATTATTGCAAGAAACTTTTATTGCCATATATGTGTATGAAGATGTGTGCTAAGAATAATAAATTCTGCTCTAAAGATGTTGGGTGAATACAAGTACAGTAAAGGCCAAGTTTTTTTGTGTGATCTAATTTGGGAAAAGCTAACACTGTATCCGTCCCCACTGCGGAAGTCATAGCGGTGGAGGGTGACATTTAATAGGGCACATCTAGCTGCTGTAGGTTGGCTTTATCAGATTTTTTTAATTGCAGGGAATTTGCAGTCCATTAGAGCAATCTGACTCCATAAAGCAGTGTAGCTGGTGAGAGGTCCCTGGACCATTTGGTTATCTGTTGCACAATTCCCAGTGCCCTGGTGGTCACTTCAGTACCATTAACATTAGTGAAACCCGAGTCTGACCACTCGAGAGAATTTCCCAGCCTCCTCCCTGTGGGACACTATAAAGTAAAATGCAGGCTCAACTCAGCTCAGTTTCTGAGAAGGCATATTCTTGATGATGTATATGTGACAAGACCTCCCAGCCCTAATTCTGACCTGCTCCAGAGATATCTTCTGAAACATAAAAACAAAATTTTTCGGAGAGGTAGGAATTTAAAAAAAATTAAAGAAGATAGAAAATGGACAAATACTATAGCGTTAATATTACAGACAGCTAAATTACACAGAAAGTAATGGGCAGAGAGAGATGGGGCGATTGAGGGAGTCAGTGCAGAAGATGAGCTGCGTCACTCCTGTGACTGGAGGGGAATGTGATGCTGGGGATGCGGCAGCCAGGCTTTGAGCCTCCTCAGAGCTGTGTGGCAGCTTGAGATTCTACTGCAACTAGCCCCATCTGGCCCAGTGAGCCCAGAGAGGACATCAGATGTGTAATCGGGAAACCAGATCATCTGTCCTGTTCTCCCATCCCATTCCAGGAATGCCTTGTTCTTTCTACTTTAGAAGGTATAGATGAGCTAAAGTTAATGATGCTCACCATACAACCTCTCTATGTGTCTTGCTTTCCTATTGGACCAATATTAGCTAAGCAACTATGTCTGTAATCCTGTTGTTTGATTACAGTTTGACCCATAGCTATCCATGTTGTGATCCTGCTGTATAAAATATCCTCGATGAAGAGCCTCTGCAACGATCTATTCTGGACCCTTCCTGTCTCTCAGTAGCTTTCCTACTGTCAACCTCCTTTGTTCTAGAAACTCATTCTTCAGCATATAGGAGACATACACTATGCCCATGGGACACTAAACAGGTAGAGAGTTATTTCCCTGTGGCATTATTGGATTTACCAATCTTGGATTAGGAATCAGAGGCTGAAACTCTAAGGTGTTGCTGTCTAGCTGACTATTCTTAGGCCATTTCTTGAGGTCATTTCTCTGATAGGTCATTTCACTTTCATGGGCTGAAAAATAAAGAGAACAATCTTGCTTCACTTCCCTTGTGGTGCTGTAAGGACTTCGAACACCTTTGGGAGACAACAAGAGAAGAGGAGCAGTTTGGTGAGATTTTAAGTGGACTGAGTTTTGAGAGATCAATTGCTATTGATTGATACTGAGAAGATGAATTAACTGTTTTTGTATGGTCTGGAGCAATTAGTTGGTAATTTACACCTTTAATTAGAAGGCTGTCCTGGGTGAATTTAAATCTAGATATTGAGTTCCCAGGACATCAGCAAGCTGAACTGGCCACATTGATCATCCCGGAGTTCCATTAATTTTTTTTTTTTTTTAATGGTATTGAGTGGGCGAGTAGGAATGGGAGTGGTGAATCATAATGAACGTTAAAATTAGATGAAAGATAAAACAAACAGGAGGTAGGCATGGGTATCTCCTTGCTTTAAAAAGTGTACCCTGTTGGGTGTATGTCTTGGTCATCTTCCGCATCTTCATCCTTGTTTCCTAGGACATCCAGCTCAACTGTGATGTGCTCTTCTCCCTGGAAATGGTAGGAGTCAAGAGGAAATAATCAGAAGCTGGCTTGTATGTGTACTGATTGCCTTTGCTTGAGATCATGATGAAGAACTTTGAGCCTTTTAATTATTATGTAAGATGGCTCCTGATATCTATGCCAGGGACACTATTTTCTCTTGTAAGCATGAGCGATTCAGAATCCTGCTTTGGGGGCTAGGGAGAGGGCCCAGTGGCATAAGTGCCTGTGTGGCAAACATCACACTTAACTCTCCCTTCCCTCCCAGAGAAGCCACTGACTCCTTTTGGTTTTCTTAAGGGCACAGACTCCTAATTTTGCTTCTTTGTTCTTGCTTCTATTGTAGTCATTCAACACCAGCTCTGTTTCCAAGCCAGTGCTAAATGAAGTTAACACCACAGGCTGCACCCGTCTTCCTTTCTGGCACACCAGACCTAGCTTCTCTAGGACTGAGAAAAAGGCTGGTTTTATTCTCCTGGTAGCCAGCATAAGGCTTGATTGACAGACATGAACCCCAGCTGCCACTTTCAATAGGTGACTGAAGAGCGTCTCCTCAGGGTGCAATGTCTGCAGTCACCTGGGCTCTAGGACAGTGTTGCCTTTACCCAGCTAGCTCTTGCTCTAACTAATTGAGTACATTATACACCTGGGCCTTCTTCCCTGGACAGCTCTTCTAGGTATACTGTGAGCTTTCAAACATCTGCAGTCCATCCTGCTCTCAGCGTGGCCCTGAGGCTTCCTTCCTGTCTTCCTCCCTGGCCACCCATAGCATGGCCAGTGGTCACCTGCAGTGACCCCCTCACTAAGAAGTTGGCTGTCAGAAACAATGGCACTGAAAGCCAGGGAGGAGGAACACAGATTGGTGGATGGTTAGAATGCATACTAAGACGTGTAATGCCATGTTCGACTTTCATTTTCTCTTGCATAGTATGGCCTTTAATTCTCTGCACTTTAAATAAATCGTAGCATGCTGGTGAGATGAAAGGATACTCAAATATCATATAGTCTTTCCATGAAAACTCAGTTACACTTCTGAGTCAAGATTATGTCTGTTTTTTTTTTTTTTTTTTTTTCTTGGATGGAACTAGAAAGGTAAGAAGATGATCGGAGGAGAGACCAGCAGAGTCAAAATTGCACGGACCACTTAGTGTCCTCCTCTGAGGCAGCAGCTGCTGCCTTACTGTCTCACACATTCAGGTGACCACTGCTGCCACCGCACAGCCAGGGGCATCCACGAACCCTACCTGGTTGGGGGTTCCTTGCTCCACACTTTGCACAACTCTATTCCTTATTGAGTTGTCTCCTGATGTGTCCTGGTTTTCAAGGTCCCCACCCTAAAAAAAACCAAAAGGACAGATTGCAAAATATAAAATGTCAGAAGTGAAACTCAATTGTCCTTTAGTAAATGACAACCTAGAAGAATTTTGAAGGATGAGACACAAAAAGATAAGATATTTAGGAGGCATTGGATTCAAGAAACTGCTATTAAGGAACACAGATGAGCCAAGTATGGTGGTGCTCCTCTGTAATACCAACTTTTGGGAAGCTAAGGCAGGAGGATTACCACAAGTTTGAGGTTGGCCTGGCCTATGCCGTGAGACTCTCTTTCAAACCACAAAGAATACAGGTGAGCAAGGCTTAGTGTTCATACTCAAAATGCCAGCTCCTAGCAGGCTGAGGTAGAGGATCACAAGTTCAAGGCCAGCATGGCAGTTTATCAGAGGCCTTGTCTCACAGTGGAAAAGGGTAAGGGAGGGTGGGCATTCATCAGTCCAGCATCTGCCAAGCATGCAATTTTGAGGTCCTGAGTTTAGTCCCAAATACCACAAAACAAAACCACCAACAACTAAACCACACAAGAATGACACAGGTGATGTTTGCTTTGCTTTGTTCTACTGAACAGAGGGTGTGTCCCCCTGAGGACAAGGACTGGTGGCTCTCTATTCCAGGCAGTGCTACCCAGCACAGCCCCACTCTTGGGGAGGCTTTCGTACTCCCGTCTACTGTATCTCCAGGGGTTCACCCCACAAGAAGAGAGATAAGTGAAGTGAGCCAAGAGTGGGCTGGGAATTTTATTCTTAGTCTAAGGCTTAGATGATGGACTTACAAGATGTTCATGTGTTTGGTTTTGTTTGAAGCATCACGGTTACTAATGAGCATGTGTGAATATCTTGTTTTGTGAAGCTGTCTTGATTTCACTTTCAGAAACTAAAGGTTACTCCTGGCAGGGCTGCGCTGACACTTTAGCTGCAGTTTCCAGATGTGACAAATACCTGTTTCTTTGCATTTTGATCTTTTCTTCAGTGTCTAGTCCAGTGATGGTGAACATTTTAGAGCTTTGAATAATATAAACAGCCCAGTGTGGCACCAGTGCCATTGGTTCACCACCACTGGTCTAGACTTCCTCCCATTGCGTCCCAACTTGCCTTTTTCACGGGAAGGCAACTGACAAACGGTGTCAGGAAATGTCCTCTACAGGCCTCAGGTTGTGCCCTCAGGGACCTCACAAGTTTGAGAACAGCCTGGGCAACTGAAACCCTATCATAAGACAAAATAAAACAGAACAAAACAAGACATAACTAACTAGATATGTAGCTTATTAACACAGTGCATGTGTAGAATGCTGAAGTTCTGTGTTCTACCTCCAACACCACAAAATAAGAACAGAAACAAAAACAAAAACAAAAGAATGGCAAAAAGAAAAAGAGATGTCTGATTTTTTAACTTCAGATGGAAAATGGCCTAAAGAATCTAGAAAATATCATAACTGCAACTTGTGTCATATTTCCCACTTCTCAATACACAGGAAGCCAACTGGCCTGGTGGCACACACCTGTAATCCCAGCTCTTGGGAGGCTGTAAACAGGCAGATCACTATGAGTCTGATCTAGTAGTGAGACCCTGAGTACCCTGCAAACCCTTCCCTAAAAAATAAAAAAAGTACAAAACACAAGAAGCTATTGTCATATATAAAATCTTGCTGCACAACATGACTTACATGCAAAAAGTACTTGTCTGTATGTCCTTCTTATGTTATAGCTGTTTATACCTTTCTTTTGCAGAGCTCTTTGTGTGTAGCAGATGTTAACCATTACTGAACTTGGTGATTTTAATGTCGCACCAGTACAGCAAAGTAGTAACTCTAGGCAGTTGGTATAACACCACAGCACAGGAAAATGTGCAGTATGTGAAGGTGACAGAATGTTGCTAATGGCTGGATTGATGACGGGTACTTAGGGACGTTGTCATATTTTGGGGTTTTGCAAGGGGAGCAATACATTACAAGACACCTATTTTGTGAGATTATTTTATAATAGTCACCCAAGGAATCATATAGAAAGACAGCAGGAAATCTGTCCACGCACTAAAGACCAAAGAATCCAGCTGAGGTCCTGGGTCCCACAGCCGTGTCCTGCAGGAGTCCAGCTGAAGACCTAGAGCCCATCACAGTGTCCCCTGTGAGTCCAAATGGAGGCCAAGAGTTCACAACAGTGTCTCATGCAGTCCTGTTTCACAGATCTGCACTGGGGCCTAAAGTCAGTGATGGAAGCTAGAAAGTCTGTGCCAGTGGGATGAAGGATTTGTACTTGCAGGCTAAGGGGTCTGAACTGGAGCCAGGAATTGATACTCTAAGAACCGGAGCTCCTTGGAACAGTACCCAGCCATCCTCAGCAACAGTGAGATCCCAAGCTCCTCCAATGACAACAGCCGAGTACATGTCAGGAAAACCTGCATGATAAGCTTCCCCGCACACTGAACAATGCACCGTCTTCCCCTTTGGAGCCAGGAAGCCACGTTCAAGGGAGGACCAGAGCTCCCCCGTGCAAACCATAGCCATTTGCAGCGACAATGAGGTCCCGAGCTGCTCCTCCGACCAGAACAGCAAGTTCATCAGGAAAGCTGGCATGACAAGTTTCTCCAGCAAAATAGCCCAAGAGAAGCAGCAATTCTCTGCCAGCTTCCTGGTAGCTTCTACCAGTTCCCAACAGCCTTCCTTCTCCTTCTCCAGTTCTGCCTCTCCTGCTGCTGGCGACCATCCTCGGGTGGGCCTCCCATGTCCAGCGCCACAGTGATTCAGTCCAGCTCGGTGTTACAAGTTGATCATCAGTGGTCAACCCTGCACAGGTGTATTTTGCTATTCTACTATGGTGGATGCTTAAAATTGTCCTTAATGTCCAGTTAAAAACAAGACCGAATCCGAGTTCCTGGGAAACCAGGACACAAATCAGGGGGATTAGGCTTCTGTATCACGCAGTCCTCCAGGCCACACTGTGTGACACTTAGCTGGCCACAGGGTCTGCAGCCCAAACCCCGCCCTTCCCCTAGCACAGTCTCTAGTGTCAGGGTCGCTTCAGAAGCCCAGCGTCATTCTGGTTCCCTGAGGAGCTTCTGCTTTCTTGGTGCTGGGGCGTCCTGCCACCTAGTGGTAGGACCTGGAACTTTCTTTTTAAGATTTATTTTTTTTATTTGGTACGAGGTCTAGCTATGTGGCTCTGACTCTTAGTGATCCTCCTGTTTTCAGCCTTCCCAGCGCTGGGATTGCAGATGTGCGCAAGTACTCACAGTTTTGGTGGGCCGCATAGCATGTCTGGGGGTGGGGCGAAGCTGGCGTGGCATGTGGTGCAGGGAATCGAACCCCAGTTCCTGTGCCTGTCAGGCAGGCGCTTAGACTACAGTGCCATCTCCTCAGCCCCCCAACTTTCCTTATGGAATGGAGGGACCCTGTTTTTTCCGAGGTGCTGATGTCTGAGGAGCTGTGTGTGTTCTAGGGATGGAGCACTGCTCCTGGCAGCAGCCACGGAGCACCTCAGGCTGTGTTTCTCTCTGCTAATGGGACTGTTTGCTCCTAGAGTCCAGGCTTTGGCCTTTTCGGTTTTCAGTAAGGACAATGTCTCCCGTGGAGGATTTGCAGTGAAGCAAAAGTGTTAGTTGGGAGCTGATCTGTGCCTGGACAATGACCCTTGAGGTGACTGTCTTTTTTTTTTTTTTTTCAATTCAGATTAGAGTCCTGGGGTGCGGGAAGGGACTTACTGTTGCCTCTTACCCATTACCTTTTTCCGCATACTTAGCAATTCAGATTGCGACGCACAGTCTGCTCCCGCACCCACCTGAATCCCAGCCACTCTCAGAACACAGCCCTCACTCTGGGGCACAGTATGCAGCCCGCTCAGGTGAGTTTCTCTGGTTGCTTTAGTCGCTGGGTTGTTAAAGGTGTTGGCTCTGCCTCGTAGCCAGGAGCACACTGAGCCTGGGGTTTCCTTCCCACCTGTCCTTGAGCTTGCATTTCCTTTGCTTCTAGAGCCATGGTGGCTGCTACAGGGAGGCACGGGACCCTGTCTATGTTATGGCCTTCCCTTCACAGTTTCTAAATCATATCAGAACTTCTAGACTCTGGGGTTGACTGAAACTACCTTTAGCTCCCCCCCCCCCCCGCCACTGACAATGTTCCTTTCTGCTGCATTTTAGCAGAAAAAGCTGCATCTTTAGGCTTCATTTGCAAAGTGGGTTAGTACAAGAGATGCCACATGGGGCAGCTTGGAGACTGTTCTCACAAGGGTGCCTGGAAGCTGCTCCTGATGGCCTCTGTCCTTTCCTCTGCCCTCCTACTGGGAGTGCAGACAGATCTGTCCCAGGCCCAGAACATGTGGGGCGCATCCTGGAGATGCGTGAGGGATGTGCCAGGAGCTCACGCTGCTCTGTGCTGCTCTGACCTTAATCCGTACCTGGGTGAAGCCAGCTTTTCCTGCATGACTTCTGGTGCTGGTTTTTATTTTGTCCAGAAGTAATGCTCTTCAGTAGATAAAGCTTTGTATTTACTCCCTATAAAAGGCCTGCAAGGCGGATTCTGCACTCTTCAGTTTTACAGATAGAGAAACAGAGGTAAAGAGAAGTTAGCATTTGAGTGGCAGAGCTAAAAGCAGCTGCAGTGGGATCTGAGCTCAAGCTGTCCCTCCGAGGACCATATTATACCCTGTACTTAGGGAGGCAGGAAGATACGGCAATAGAGATGTGGACGTGCGGTGTTGTTTTGGTTCCTTGAACATGTAGAAAGACTGATTTGCACTGTAGATATTAAAAGACAAGAGCAAAGTGACAGCAGTGTTGCAAGTTCCAGAAATGCTATGGCGAATCTGAAGCTGCACTTAGGCTCTGCTGGTCACTGCCTGAGTGATGTTTCCCACACTGCTCACCAGGTGCTAGCAGGGAGGGCCCTCTGTGCTGTGGACATGCCTTCAGGCTGGTTTGACATCTTTGATCTCTGTCCCACTGTGCCTGGGCTGCACAGCCTAGCTTTTCACCACTCTGTCCTTGTGACCAGGGTGCAGGGTGCAGA